CGGGAGGGGCGGGGCTCGTGGCCCCTTCTTGGAGAGCTCGGGGGTCCTGGGACCGTCGGGGGCCGCTAGCTCGGGCGGGGGGCGCTGCGGGAAGACCTCCAGCCGCGCGCATCTCTCTTCTGGGCCCGGGTGCACCGGGAGTGCCGGCGAAGCCTCCTGCTCCCCATCGGTTGGATCTGGCCGGGCCGGGCGACAGAGCCCCGAGCTGGGATCTCTCCAACCTGGGGTCTGACCAACAAGGACCGGCAGGGTCATCCCCGCCCGGCTCGAGGTGTGTGGGTCTGGGCGCAGAAGGGGAGCCCCGGGGGTCGCAGGGGGAGCCTCGCAGGACGCCCGGCATCGATCAGTGGCCGCGTGGAGGGGTGAGAAGTGGGGACTGGGCGGGCGGGCGTGAGGTGGACAGCATGGGGAAAGGGGGGGAAGGGGAGGCTCTGTCTGGCCACGCTCGAGAGTGTCCTGGATGTGCGATGGCACCACGCAGAGCGCGCACAGAACTGGTCAGGTGTGGCTCACACCGCACCGTCCCCTCACAGGAGCAGCGAGATCCGCGGGGACCTGACCCCGGTGCGGCACGCCCGGGCCCTCGTGGACGCGCGCGGAGAGCTATGCGCAGACGGCACAAGAGGGTTTCTGCGGTGCCCCAGCCCCTTCCACTCGCCACTGCAGGGGACCTCACCTGTCATGGTGTACTCTGTAGTTTTACGACATCAAGATACTCAAACAGGAACGTTCTTTTCAGGAAGTGCACTGAGAGGCGAGATGGATCCCTATCAGCCTGTCGGTGCCAGACAGCCCCTTGGAGTCCTTCCTACGTGCCTGGTACGCTGCTGAGTGCCGTACATAGGATTTTTCCATCTGTCACAACAGCATTGGACCATGACACATTTATCCAAACGAAAGAAAAATCCCACTCATGTCAACCAGTCCCAAGTTTTCTGACAATTGGAAGAGATGTTACAGATGCCAGGCTAAATCTAAGTTGCATTTTAGTTTATTTATTTATTGGCTGCTGGTCGGTACAGGGATGGAACCCTGGACCTTGGTGTTATCAGCAACTTTAACACCAACCGAGCCAGTCGACCAGCCCCTCCACTTACATTTTAGAGGCCATTGCTGAGAGCTGGAATGATGCCTTTTAATCCAGGAGGACACTTAGACTAAGCCAGTTTTCTCCCACCTTGTTACTGACCTAACAGGCAGGTCAGGCCCTCACAAAGGACATATGAAAATCCCAGGATCTGATTACTGCTCCTCCCATCCCCATACATGGCTATAGGAAAGGCATCATTGGAATTTCAGAGAGCCAAGTCCTCAAAAAGCAATTATGGTGTGGCTTTCAAACCTCGAGCTCTTGGTAAAAGGAACTGGAAAACAGGAAGAAAACACTGTAAATGATAGTAGTTGCATCGCAGATGAAAATTCTTTCAGTAAGGGGGTCATTGGCTTGTTGAATTCTCACCCTTGAAGCCCGACTTTGTTCATCCTTTAGAAAACCTCCTATGCCAGGTAGTGATGCTCCACCCCAGC